TATAATTGATACCATACTTCCATATATATTGTAAATTTGAGGGCACTACATTCGATTGCAGACAGTTCCTTTAGAACAAAAACCATTTCTTTAAGATAAAACAAAATATTTCGTAATTTGTCTTACATATAAATATAGAAATAAAAACATTTTTAAAAAAATTATTACTAAATATCATTAAAATATGCATTTAAGAATTTATAAGCTAAATATTCCTTACTTATGTTTGAAAACGAAGTCAGCACGATATTCTTATACTTTCCTTATGTATTATAAATATCTCTGCAGCTATCTCATATACAAGTTAGTGATAAGAAATAAATTTCATCACTCGTATTCGACGTTCGAAATGATATTTCTCGAGGATGAGAGATAAAAAAGAACCTTTTCGAGAAATATATTATTATATAATGCATACACATTTCTCACGTAATAAGAAATTCTTTCTTGTTTGCCAACTCTTTACTTTCTTCGCTTAAACCCATCCTCCGTGGATGCGTTTGATATGAGAAATATCACGAAGGCGAAAATGTAATATATATTAGCTGACTCGAGATTTATGCTTGATAGTCAGATTGGTAATAACAGTGACAATATATCAGCCAAGACCTTCTATATATAACAGTTATTACATGCTTTTTCTGGAACTTCAACCAAAGGAACTATTGGGATGTTTTAGTTTTGGATATTATAGCCACGATTTTTTTTAGTCATTTGAATTTCATATTGAACAATAGTTTTATGAAGATAGCATTATTACATTATGCATCAAAAAATTGTCTTTAGAGGAACTGTAATCATAAAAGGAAAGAAGGAAGCAATATATTTATATTTTCAAAAATGTTTTAATAATGATATATAGTAAACATCAATCCATCATTTTTTTGGTAAGGCACAATTGATGCAAGCCTAATCTCATGACGATAAATCAATCCATCATTTTTAGTGCAAGGTAAGGAGAGGGTTCTTACATCAGATTGATTGTAACGTCTGATGTATAAAATAATTTTGTGATTTGAAATATTTTGGTTGCAAATGCCTTTTTGAAATCTCCATGAAGTAAAAAGTTTTCCTTGAGAAAAGAAATGTTTAAAAAATTGGTGTAATGGTAAAATATATTCTAATAATAAACAATACTGAAAATTTTGAATGTGCTATTTGGGGAACTTTATAAAATAACGCTGTGAAATTCATAACTTTCAAAATTGATTAAAAGCAACTGTTTTCTAACAAATTAAATACGATTCAAAATCAATGAGTTAATTGAATGTTAAAAATAATTTAAGAAAAACTTATTCATATTCTAGATTATTATAATTGTTGCTATACGCAAATCTAATTTGTACGAGTTTGTGAAAATCGAGAGTTAAAATTAGCATTATAAATATAATAACATTAATAACATTATAAGCATAATAACATACTTATTGTAAATAGTTTTAAATTTTATAAATAACTAGCAACCTCCTCTAAAATTCAAGTAAATAATTAATGAAAAGACGTTGGATTAAAATGTTAAAATTTTTAATTTTAGCATTGAATGCGACATTTTTTTAAACAAAATTTTTGAATAGTCAAGTTTGATATATTATTACCTTTAGTAAATCGATTTTTCAGGCAAATCCAAGGACCAATCAGATAGGTCCTTAGTTTTAGTATGAATACTCCTTGAAAATTTATCCCTCAACACCCTATTTCGCGTTAATTTCATATTTTATAATCTGGCAACTTTATAGAAATATTTTTAAGACAATTTTACAAATTAAACGTAAGTACATTGCATTTTTCTCTCTTCTCCTTTAATACGTTTTTTTCTCATTTGGATACGTTACATTTGGAATTTTTTTCTTGAATTTTTCTGCTGTCTTTACTTCCTTAAATTATGTTAACGAATTGATTTGAATTTTTCTGATGTTCTTCACATCATTGTATTGATAAATTTTACTTTGGATTATAATAAAACAAATTAGAAAGCACTAATCTTCGTGAATAAAATCGTGTGAATTGATAAAAAAAACTATATCTTTTCATTATTATTTTTTCTAATTTTTACTTAATTTTTTTCGGATTTATAATATTTTCTATTGTTTTTTTATATTCTTTCAAATCATTCTTTTTCTCTTTTTTTTCTACAATTCTCAAAATTAAAAGAAAAAAACAACAACATTAATTTAGGCAATGGACCTGAATGTTCAAAAAACGTCAGAGTTGTGAATCTTAACATCGTAATAAATATATAAGCAATATACCGATTAAGAGTTATTCATTTAACTTAGTGCTTAATGAAGATATGTTATCTTCTGGTTTTATCAGAAAAGAATTTGTTGGAAATGGTTTTTACTGGTTAAAAATGGAAGCTTTGGACATTTTAAAATCACTATTTTTACCGAGTAAACTTTGATTAATTTTTCCCTCCTTATCCGTAACATACATCACATTTATAATATGATATTATAGAAGGTTAAAATTTTGATAAAATTTCAATTTATATTAGGAAACAAATAATGAATTTGAAAACAAATTGTAAATAGTTTTCAGGACTAAACAAATCATTTTCATCGCATCTCCAGAATACCTTTGGGAAAATGATTTTCAATTCATCTCCAGTTCCGTCAACCAATCACCGAGAGAAGAGAATTGGATTCCCTCAAATCCTCCAGAAAATCCTCCCCGTGAAAGCTTAAGCAATTAAGAAACCACTCAAAGTACCTTTTCCTGTGCATAGAGGACCAAAAAGCATTGTGGGGTGAAATTTCTACTCTTCTTCATTCAATTATTAATTAGTTATTAAATGTTGGAACGATTTTTATTCTTTAAAAATGCATTATTAGGTATTTATTGGGAGAACTGTGCATAAATCATCAACAGCGTTTTTAATATTTAAACTTCAAAAATTCTTTAAAATGTATTAAGGGAGAAACGACATATGATTTACCATAGAATATAATTACAATCGGGAACAAATTTATACAAATGCTTGATCTTGCTTAATACGGATGTTGGGATTCTAAATATGATATATATTATTTTGCTGATAATTGAAAGATTTTAATCAATTAAGAACCCGTACACTGTATCTGAACCCCAAAAATGGTAGCAGCTACTTTAAACCGAAATAATGTTTTACTATAAGTGTTACACTACATCAGAACCAAAGATAGTTCCCGGTGTAGTGAAACAAGGGGATAGAGCGTTCGCCTTCCAATGAGGCGAACCGGGTTCGAATCCCAGTCGATACGAATTCCTCATCCGGCTTGCACCGACCACAGTGCTGACGTGAAATATCTACAGTGGTAGGCGGATCATGGGTTAGAGTCCCCTTGCAGTCAGGTTAACTGTGAGAGGTTCTCGTGGTCTTACACTCCATGCAACGCAAATGCGGAATAGCTCCATCAAAAAGTCCTCCACGAGGGCAAATTTCTCCCAATACTCAGTTCAAGAGTTCCCTTGTCTTCTGGATTGGGTTCAAAATTAAAAGTCTACGGAGTTGAACATTGGTAGTCGTAAACACATAAAATTGCCTTGGCTGTTCAACGACGGTTATAAAATAATATAANCACAGTGCTGACGTGAATATCTACAGTGGTAGGCGGATCATGGGTTAGAGTCCCCTTGCCGTCAGGTTAACCGTGGGAGGTTCTCGAGGTGTTAAGGTGTTCGAGGTATGCGGGTTAGTTTCATCAAAACGTCCACCACGAAGGCAAATTTCTCCCAATACTCGGTCCAAGAGTTCCCTTGTCTTCTGGTTTGGGTTCAAAATTAAAAGTCTATGGAGTTGAACATTGGTAGTCGTAAACACATAAAATTGGCTTGGCTGTTCAACGACGGTTATAAAATAATATAAAATAAAATGTTTGTCATTCAGTAACACTAAAATTTATAATTAAATTACAATATGATGCACTTAAGAATTAGCAAAGTCACTTTTGCGTTTCAATATAAAATAAGAATCTTAAATTTTGAAGCCAATATTTCTTAAATTCGAAAATACAATATTTCTTAAGATGCGATTTGTTTGTTAATCAAATATACACACAGAACGGACAGAATTCGAACGAAACAGACGTGAATCGAAGTTAAATAATATAAAACTGTTTTACACCATTGACAGATTTATCTAAATCATAGGTTCCCAAAGTGGTCCAGGTGGACCCCCAGGGGTCCATAGGAGATCACACGGGGGTTCACGTAGACCTGAAAAGNCGAACGAAACAGACGTGAATCGAAGTTAAATAATATAAAACTGTTTTACACCATTGACAGATTTATCTAAATCTTATCAGATTATAAATATCATTATTATACAAACGAAAACATGTATGTATGTTATAACAATTTGTATGAGTAGTTTGTCAAATCAATAAGGAAAGAAAATTTAAATATTTTGGTCAATAATTGAAAATAATCAATATGTTTTTATGAATATCAGTAAAGAGAATTGAGACTTACTTGGTATTAGATAGGCTGCGTCTAATATGTCAACTAAATCTGACAAGAACTCATATTTTATCAGTGCACTTAATGTGAGCAAACCATCATTTAGGCCGCCATATTGTCAATATCTTGAAATCGAAGAATGATTAGCATTAAAATTTCGAGTAAAAGTCTGAAATCATTTTTTATAAGTTTGAAAGATGCCATACCATTATTCAACGCAAAAAGGTAGTTACAGAATTTAAATACACAATAATTATTCGTCAAATTTATCTTCAAAAAACACAACCTTCTTCGCCTACAAGCTGCAGATTGGTGTAACGCAAAGAGTTAGTTACTGAGTTCAAATAAACAATAATTATTCGCCAAATTAATCTCCAAAAAGCACAACCTTCTTCGCCAAATAGCTGCAGATTGGTGTAAGATTTATCAATCCTTAGTTTTTGGTGCTTTATAGTTGATGCTTTATAGTTTGCTTGATGCTTTATAGTTTAAAAAGATACCTTAATTCAGTATCAACTTTAAATAAAACAATCATTCACACAATTTTTTAGAGTTTTTCAACAACAAATCAGGTACTACACCACAATTTTTACAGTGTAGATGATAGACAGAAGATCACAAGTTTTAAATATATTACAGAAAAGGCTCTTAAAAAAGTCAACACAGATTAACAATGGGTGGGTATACAGTGTTGTGCATTTAACCACACATGGCAATCTCAAAAATTAAAATGTATTGATTTGTTTAATAAGCGATTGTTGTTTTGTGTCATTAATTTAGAACAATAAGAAGATAACAATTCAAAACAGCTCATTACAAGTTGGTTCAAATCAGATTTAGTCAGATAGAAAAAATAAAGAAAAAGATCTTTAAACTTATCATCAAATCTCTCTGTTTAAGTAAGTTTCTTTTTATATTAATTTCTTTAGATTTGCAATACTATTTGAAAGAATTATTTAAATTTAAAGAAAATTGTTAAGCCCATCCACTTAAATGGATGTGTTTAATATTTCATGCTCGGTTATTATAAGAAATCATAATTTATAATTTAAACAGTTCATAACATAAAAATTAAAATTATTAATCAATAATCAAGTAAATACTTTTTTAATTTTTATGATGTTATTTAAGCTATTTTACTCTGACGCTACTGTTGTAACGTGTATTTAAAGTATGGTTAATATTTTAGCTGAAATTGGGTTACTATAAACGGCTTAAGTAGTTCTTTTAATAATTCTTCTTTCAATAGTTTAGTTTAAGTTTATTATCAATAGAAATGAAAAAAATCATAATATTTACATCAGAATCCTCATTTTCTTCTTAACATTAAGAAACGAAAAAATTCAATTAATTGCATACGAATATAAGGTATTTAGGCTTAATTCTATACTAATTGCCTAAGAAAGAATTAATCAAATTTCGAAAAATCTTTCTGATTCCTCGTAATAAAAATATAAACTGCTGGAGATGGATTAAAACTTTTGAAGATTTGCACTTTATTTGTGGATAAATTTTAAGATCGAATCAAAACGAAATGTGATAGCATTCCTTTTTTTCTAAACCTACAAGATTGGATTATTTTAATCCCTCCTTTAAACTGATCGACTAAGTCAGAAGTGTGATAAATTTTCTATTCCTTTGTCAATTAAACATTAATTTGTGAGCAAAAAATTATTTTACTCCATTTTTTACTATAAGTAAGGTAAGACAGTTAAATGTATACACGTATATCTCAAAAAATAAGCTAATAATAAGTGTTATTTAAACCAATTTTTTTTCAATTTTGAAAAAGCGAAAATAAAATGCTTCTTTCTTACATTTCAGGTTCAAGCTATAAGAAAGGCAAGAAGATGGCTATGTCCTCATTCCTTATTGTTGCAATTGTTTTCGCGGGAGCATCCGTTATAATAGTTATTCTTTGCAATTTCTGCAATTAGTCTATGGAGCTAACGCCAGGAGGACAGGTAAAAAAAATTATCTGATCTGAGTGTAGACTGGACTACACTTTGTTCCACTGCACGCATATGTACAGTGAGAAAAAAAACGGACGGTCCTGAATAATTTTTCATCGAATGATCGGATCTTCACGTTTTGGACTCAATCTTAATGGTTCAAGGAGGTGACCTCTAATATGCTAGTTAATAAGTGCAGACGATATTTTAAGCTTCGAAATTAGACACAAAAACGTACTTTATGTGAATAAACATACCTTTTTTCCCGGCGGATTCAGATTTTTGACCACCAAAATATAGGGGGTGGCCACAATTGAAAAATATGATCCCTATAGTTTGGTCAGGAGAGCGATTTGAAATTTGGACTCCCTTATGCTAATTTTACTTTTTGTGCATTTCGTCATACTTCCAGAAGTTTTTATTCGAATTGAAAAATTTGTGCATATAGTTATGAAATTCGCTTATATTTAATATTTATTGTCTATTTTTTCTTCTTTTTTTGTCGTTTGCCTGTTTTAGGCAGTGGGGGCGCGATTGCTCTTGTTTTTCAGTGGCGCCATCTATGGCCAAGAATTCAACGTCTGCCACGCCATTTACACAACTACAACCAGTTTATAGGGCGGGTCACATTCACACACAAAGGAGAAAGGACGCAGAACACACACAGAGAAAGAATGAAACATCCATGCCCTTTCCGGGATTCGAACCCACAACCTTTCTGATGCAAGGACAGTTCTCTGCCCCCTGCACAGGCCGGTCGGCATTCATTGTCTATTAAATGCTTGATTTCTCAAGAACTGTTTGACCAAATTTGTTCAAATTATTTTCCATGCAAAATTATATTTTTTAAAATGCTCTTAAAAAATATGCACCTTAGAAATATGCAAGAAACATGGAATGATGTATGTCATGTATCTGTACTGTGAGCTACTATCCGACACAATTCAAAATTAAAACCTTTATTTTCTTCTGATATCAAAAGCATTCATTTAACAAAATAATAAAAATTGCAAACTCATACAACAAATTACATTTTGTATACGTATTTCCATTTTCGTTTCAGGTTTGAAAGTCTCTTATGGTGATTAAATTCCTATTCCTGTAAGCGCGTCTCGCATGCTTGCCAATTTTGGTGGAGTTAGTGCAAAGAAAAAGCAGTAGAAGATGCCGTATCCCAATGTAATTTCAAGATTAAATACTTTTTACAATGGATGATTGGCTAATAAATGTTTTGTAATGCATCAAATTGCATTTTTCTGGGTTTTAATTACTTAATCAATATTTTAAACTATTTTTAAAAGGAAGAAAAACTATGATTTTTAGCTTAAAATCTCTTTGATTTTTCAAGAAAAATATTTAAAGGCAGCTTAAATATGTACTTGTATTATTATCTAACTGAATTATTATATTTGTATTTGTATTATTATATTGTATTCATCCCCACAAAAATAGAAGTCCTTTACCATGTCATAGATTATAAATGTGATTGCATGCTTGACCATAAGGTCAGTAAATAATCTTGATACATTTTGTATTTAACATAATAGGAAATGACAATTTTCGACAAATAATTTTTTTTTAAAATTTTAATAATAGCATCAATCATATGAGCATATAAGTCATGTTTTCGTTTCTATCAGGGTAGAAAAAAGTCAAGAAAGACTGGAAGAGAAAATTGAGATGGACACAATAGGCATTGACCCTTCATGGACAGTCGCGCCACTGAGTTTATTTTAAATTCATAAGGCATGATTGTCAATCGTTAAAAAGAAATAAAGGGAGAATGCTATTATTTCTTGACTATTAGATGCTACAAAATAGAGCCAGACAGAAAAGAATTTTTTCCTTGAAAACTGGCTTAATAAAACAATGCCAAAACACGAGACATGTGTAAAGATCACTTTTTTTATTTAAATTTTAAATTAAATTACTACCGAAAAATTATTGTTTCAATACTCAGGATGGTTAAACGATTCTAGAGATTAAAACAGAAGTCTTTTTTGTTAAGAAAGAAAATAAGCTGAAGCTGAAGATAAACTAACTACACGGAAATATTATCGATCGATTAAAAATAGAACTTGTTTTCGTGTACCCGATTATCATCGAGGTCCGAGTTTTGAAATTTTTAATTCATTTCTGTTTTATGTAAGTATTATGTGCTAAAACATGGTATTATTGTATTGAAACTCAATTTTTTTTATTGTAGGCGTGAAAAGTAGTGAAACAAAAATTGTTCCAATAAACTCACTTTTTTTTCTTCAAAAAAATAATAAATAAATAAATTAACATAGCTTAGATACAATTTTTATATGTTTTTAGTTTGTTTGAATTATAGTGTTTATAAATATTAAATTTTAGAGAATAAACTATTACGGAGTTGAAAATTTATGGTCATAAACCCTACGAATGGGTGGGCTGCGCAATACCGATTATAAAATAGAATGCTTTTGGAGATAAAGATGAAAAAAAAAAGTAAATAAATTAGCAAATAAATAAAAGGTTCCAGATACCACTTTTTTCTTAATCTATTGTAATAAAGCATTGAATGATATGAGAATGGTGAGAATGAAAAATTTAATGTGTAAAATGCAGTATTATTCTAAAGTTAGCTAAGGGAACGTTAAACAATTGGAAATTTAAATAACTATTACAAACCTTATTCACCATCAAAGACAACTGCCATGATGAAACAAAATAATAGACAAGCTTTAAAACAAAATCCTTTCAAGCTACGACAATAGAACATAATTATTCTCTCAGCTGGTGTTCTCTTTTATTCATTAAAATGGTGGAAAATAGCCGTCTTTTCTCCAAAAGCCTAGAGTTAACGTTTCGTGATTGAAGTAATTGAAAATTTAGCTCAGAAATGTGAGACTGAAAATATGAGCATGGGTGCATAGTTGCCTGAATATCCGTTTGAATATCTAAAATAACTTTGCTGATTTGAGAAGGAACAGTAATTTACATTGATCCTACTAATATTTTAAGGAATATCAATAAATTTTACTTTTGATCCAAAAGAGTAATCTGAATTCTGCATGCTTTCTCCAACTGAAAAAATGATGAAATAATTTCGTAATTAATTATGTTTCCTTTGAACTTCACTTCTTATCAGTACTATTGTCTGTTTATAATGTTCACCGTATCAGGGACTAAAAAATACCCATAGAGCAAGCCTCTCGGGGTCGTGGAACTCGTATATTTCTGAAGAAGAAAGAAAATCCTTGTGGGGAATTTTGTTCATGAAGTCCTACACGAATGGGGTTTGTACCAGTATGTAGTTCGTAAGTCCCCTTGTCTTCAAGTTTGGTTGAAAAATACGAATACAAGGAGTTGAACAGTGTAATGAATACGTTTGTTTTACATGCATAAACACCCATTAAATGAGAATTGAGTTAAAAGATTATTTGATCAAACTGTTATTTCCTAACATTGATTAGGTAAGTTGGCACCCTAACATTGATTAGGCTCCCTTTTACTTAGACATATGAACTATGATTGTGCTAATAAAGGAATTCCACAGCTTTTTAAACTACGACAAGTAACCTTTTCTGCCATGCATGAGAGTGTCAAAAACATAAAATAATTATAAAAATATTCTATTATCACTATATTTTCTAATTTTGAATAGATAAATCTTGTGTTCATTTCCCAACCTTCATCAGTATCGTATGCAGATAAACTTTGCATTACTTTCCTAACATTCATCAGTATCCTGATGCAAAACCATGTGCCATTATTTATCATCAGTATTATAACAAAAAACCACGTATCATCATTTATCAATAGTATCATAACACAAAGCAGCGTGTCATCATTTAGCATCAGTATCATACTAAAAAGCCACGTGCCATCATTTATCATCAGTATCTAACACATACCATATGTCCTAATTCACCATCAGTATCATAACATAAACAGTTTTTTTCTAGTTCATTTTTATTCACACAAATAAACGCCATGAATCTAAGAATTTTTTTAAAAGAAGGCACTTTTAAAAATGACTTCACTTAATATCTTTGAGAAACCATAACGACGCTATGATATAGTTTGCATCTGTCTTGTGCAATCCAGACTACAGATGAATTTACTTAATGGACGACCGATAGATTTCTATAATTCTTTCACAATCAGCTTTCTCTTTGAGATATTTCTGTTTCTACCATCATAACACAACACCATGAATCGACATTATCATAACATATGACCTATAACATAAAAATAAAAAAACTTTCTTCAGTTTCTATCCACAAACACCCATCGAAGATCTTTTTAAACTAGAATATTATTTCAAACACTTTTAACCATCCCATGAACGTTTTAAAAATTATTTTATCAATTCTATACTTCTTTATATTTATCCGGTAAATCTTACATTCATTTCGTAACATTTATCAGTATCATAATGCAAAACCATGAGTCTTTATTTATTATTAGTATCATAAAACAAAGCATTAATATCATAGCATTAGTGTGAGATAACTTTAGTTATTATTTTTATCAATTCTACATTAACATTAACCAGGAAAATCTTACATTACTTTCCTAACACTCGTCAGTATCATGATGCAAAACCACGTGTCATTATTTATCATCAGTATCATAACATAAAACCATGACTCATCATTTATCATCAGTGCGATAACACAAAGACGTGTGTCATCATTTAGCATTTTTATCATAACACAAAGCCACGTGCTATTTATCATTGGTATCAAACACAAAACCAAGTGTCATCATTTACCATCAGTGTCATAATATAAAATAAAAAAAAAACTTTTCCTAGTTCATCTCTTTTCGCACAAATAAGCGCCTCGAAACGAAGATCTTCTAAAAAGACGACACTTTCAGAATTGACTTCATTTGATATCTGTGTGATACCGTCGTAACGACGTTACGATATGGTTTGCATTTGCCTTGTGCAAATCTAGACGACAAATGAATTTAATTAATGGACGACAGATCTATTTCTCTAATTCGACACAGGCGGCCCTGATCTTTGTCTCCTAAGGATGTCTCTGTTTCCAGTTTCTATTTGTGAATGAATTGGAATGGAATGATTTACTCAGCTCCAGATCCGATTAAGCCTCAGCTGTATATCAGGAGTACTGTTAATGTGATTATAAACGTGGATGGCAGATAAACAGGCAGTGAGAGTCGGTGTTGATTAAGAGTGTCTTTGATCTTTCTAAACTAATGGACCGGCACTCTTTCTGTTGTTCGTGATATTTCAAATTAGATTTTTGTGAATACGCAGAACTGTGGGAGAATGCAGGGTCACATATTAGTATGTATTATGCTGATTTGATGTTAATCACTCTGCATCATGATGCAATAATTTCTATTTGGCTGTATTTCTTTTCGAATTAATAAGTGATTTTTTTTAAGGAATACTTTAGGTCGATTCTAAATCTTTTTGTTACTGTTTTTTTGTCATTCGATTGCTAAAACGTACTCCAATAAAAGTCTATTATTTAAAATAAATATTTTTATGATTTTTAAGACACGAAACTTGTTTATGCTGTATAAGACGCGCATAATTTAGGTCAAAATGTTAAAAATTCCATAGCATTTACTGCAAAAAAGACGAAGAAAAAATAGGCACTCAGAGAATCAGCATTTTTACTTCAAATATTTAAAGCTAAAAAACTATGAGTACATGAGACTAGAAAAAAACATGAAAAATAGAAACCGTGGTAGCGGAGGGGATGACGGCAGACGAATGAGTGCGAGTTCTGAACATATTTCCATGTACAATGCAGTGTGCGAGAATCTTAAATCAATATTAAAATACTGCTGTTTTACTCAGGGTGATTAAAAATTAAGTATCTTCCAGCTTATAAATTGTTTATTTTATTTTAATATGGCGACAAACCACCAGAAAAGGAAAGTTTTTATTTATTTTCTAGTACATGTTTGACTTATTATGAATTGACTGTACGAATTAAATGGCATAAAGCTAAAAAAAGACAACAACATGTTCTTATTCGTGACATTTTTACTACCCGAGAAAAAAAATAAAAATAACGTATAAATAACTTTACTGCAAGAGAATAATCCCGATGAAAAAAAAACTGGCTTTTGCTATAAATGGATTATTCTGAAAGACAAATGTGATAAGTTTTTCTGTCTGAATGAAATAATTAAATATTTTCTTTTCAATCAAAAACTACGCTATGCTTGGTTTTATACTGTATGTCATATTTGGAGACTTTCATGAACTGGATAAGCAATTTTC